TGTCACTAGATTACAATTGTATATTCCCAAGAGCTAGAAGAGCTACTCACTGTGTACAAGGGAAGGCCCGGACCTCTGGCTTTGGCTGATGTCTCTTTAAGTGCTTACTCAGTCCAGACGCTCTGTGAAATGACTTCCCACAGGCTGCACACAAGTATTTTGACTCCCCTGTTAGCAGATCAAACTCAGGTTACATACAGTGATGCCACATACAGACAGAAACATCAAGATGTCTCCCAATTATTCTATTTTGAAATAAGAGTAATCTCTGCCCACCCACCTGTGTGAATGCTCATGTGCTCCTGCATGCTGCGCTTGGTGACGAAGGACTTGTCGCACAGCGTGCACTGAAACTGCTTCAGGGCATCGTGGAGGGACCTGTGCATCTTCAAACTGTGCTTGTGGGCAAACGACTTCCCGCAAACCTAAAACAAACAACCAAAGACGCTGGATCAACACCAGAAGATGATTCACGTGGCAATCTGTCTCTGGTCGAGTAAAGTAACTTGCTTGGTGTGCTCTGCACTGAGGCCCAATGTTTTTTATGACTATTTGAAATCAATGCATGCATATTTTCTTTTAAAATCTCCAATTGTTTTTCTTCCTCCAGTACAGCCTACACTATCAAAGTATCCAGACCAAGTCACTGCTACGAAACCTGCACCTGACTGGGAAAGATGAGGGCACACATGCCTCTCCCAATTGCACTGTCAGCCCTTCTGCTTGCTGTTGCTTCTTGACATGAGCGTGTGAACAGCAGGGCTTCAAAAACAGAGGAGTGCCGAAGCTGCCATTACCAGTGACGGCAGTCCCACATGCCCAGTGGGCTAGGAGTTCACTGCTACACTGATTTCACGTACTAGTTCATTATTCTGTACTCCAGGTGAAGTGCCTTACAGGATGCCCTACTTTGGAGCCTAAGCTGCAGGATTCTTTCACCCTGCTCCAGCTTTGCAAGCTTTCCTGGACGGCTGAACATTTCTCCCGATGGATCCGGTTTGAAGAGCTCGTTGAAGCAGCCAGGCGGCTCTACCTTGCAGGCGTGGGGGCGGACCCCGGTATGGCTGAGCATGTGTATCCGCAGGGAGTAGAGCTTGGGCAGAGTCTTCCCGCAGATGTCGCACACGAACTCCCTCTTGGTCCGGCCCCTGGCCTTGGCGTCGCCCTCGTCCTCCGCGGGCCCCCTGGCCACCCCCGTCCGCTGGGTCTTCCGCTTGTGCCGAGCCAGGTGAGCGCGGAGGGAGGCCGCGTACTGGAAGTCTTTGTTGCACAGCTGCAGGGCAAACACAATTTCAACAAGCCGCCCGTCTCCAGCCGGTCCAAAACAATCGGCGCGCTCCAGGCGGAAAGGGTGCGAGCGGGGGCGAGGGAAACACGTACGCTGCACTTGTACCCACGCGTCTTCTCATGCTTGAGCGTGTGCATGATGAGGGCATATCGGCGCTGGAAGACCATCCCACACTCAGAGCACACGTGCTCCCCGTCTGTCCCGGTGTCCGGCTCCGCCACCGGCTTCTTCGAGGGCTGCAGCAGCCGGCCACGTTTCACCAGCCGCTGGGCGACCTGTGGGCACAGGGATCTGGCTGTAAGACTGCACCGCACCGCCCCAGCCAGGCCCAGTCCCGACACGGACCGGCGCGGCGCCCAGTCCCGACACGGACTGGCGCGGCCCCCAGTCCCGACACGGACCGGCGCGGCCCCCAGTCCCGACACGGACCGGCGCGGCCCCCAGTCCCGACACGGACCGGCGCGGCCCCCAGTCCCGACACGGACCGGCGGAGCGCCAGACTAACTGGAGCTTGCAGTCAGCACAAGCTCAGCTGAGGAGTAGTTGCTCTGCACTGAACATTATGTTCAATCTGACACTTACTGTGAAGTTGAGTAAACTCGAATCACAGTGCAGCATTAATTCACAGCACTTCCAGTTCAATTAAACCCGCAAAATCCAACAGCCCATTTCTGTTCCTTAAAGTAAACACTTTAACAAATGTGTTGAAAAGATTGAACTGAAATGAAAAACCAAGGCAAGAAAAAAAGAAATCAAAAGTCAATTTTTGGCTGATAAATCTTACAACTGTCACTTGTGAGGGAAAGACACATTAGAATCTACCAGTTCATTTTATAGAGACTATTTTCATACAGCCTGTGTCAGGTGTTTCATGGTTGTCATTATTTAGGCTTTACATTTACCTTGGTACTTTAGTAACACTGCTACTAAAAACAGCATGTTTTAAAATACCAAACACTATCTGGTATTCTCCCATGGTTTCTGTCTGTGTTCTTTATCTGTATATTTTTCATAAACGGCAGGAATACTGGTGCACCACCTGAATAAGTGATTAAGGTATTCAAGTATTCTGCACATTGGTATGAGCACAATAATCAAGTCTTTTGCTGAATTACTGTGGACACTATCACTGTCCTGTAGACTTGCATTTTTATAAAGGTTGGACAAAATACGTGAGAGGACCCTATTTTTGTTGTAACGTCCTTCGGAGAGGAATCTGTTTTTTAACCATGTGGCAGGTTAAAAATACCACATCTACCAATAATCCTGCCACGTGTGAAATGGGACCAAAGAGGAGAACACCTGCCTTCTGTACAGCCGATCGCGGGTTTCCTTTCCTGCTCTGCAGCTTCCTCTCCAGGCCCATGTGCAGGCGGATGTAGCCCCCCTCCTCCAGCGAGCGCTGCCGCAGCCGGCTTCTGTAAGTGTCGTCAGCGGGGCTCTCCTCCCCCTCCGGGGCGGCGCCGTAGTCCACCACTTCTACGGCCTCTGGGTTTGCGACGTCTTCCACCAGCACCACCTCCTGCTGCGGCGGCGGCGGCGGCGGCGGCGGCTGCTTCACCTTGGCCGGCCGGCCGCGCTTCCTCTTGGGGGGCAGGGGGGCGGGCTCCGTCTTGGGCGGAGGGTCACCCTCCGCCCCCCCCGCCTCCAGCGCCGCTTGGCCCTCCTCCAGAACGGGGGGAGCCGTGGCCGCCAGGTGGACCACGCCTTTGGAGGCCCCCCTTCCGGGGTCCACGTTGATCACAAAGGTTTCCGGCTCCTGGCCTTTCTCGGCCAGCTCCGCCTCGCCCGGAACTTCCACAATCTGGACCTCGCCGGCCGCCCACGCGGTCGGATTCGCAGGCCCGTCTGCTGCAGGCCCCGCCTCCTCGCTCTGCGGCATGGGGGGGTCGTTCTGAACCGTGACCACGAAAGGGGTGCCATCTGGGTGCGGGTCTCCTGCCCCGCCCCCCTCTGCAGGGGGCTCTGCGGCTGCCTCAGTCACAAGCGGGCCACTGGGCAGGACCTCGGAGGAAACCACAGTGTGCACGTCCCCCTTCTGGTACACCATCAGCTTCTTCTCCTCCACCTGCTTGTGCACAAACTCGCAGATCTCCAGCACCTCCACCATGAGCAGGTGGCGGGCCAGTGTGGCGATCTCAGCCATGCTGCAGAAGTTGAACGTCAGGCTGGAGGTGTAGGCAAACTCCAGCAGGGGAAGGAAACTGGATTTGCTGAACCCTGGAGGAAAGGATTACAAAAACAGAGGAGTGAATTTTGGATTCAACTTGCACTTGAGGAGGTCCTTTAAGGAGAGTCAGATGAATGAGAAGCAAGTCTTGAAAACTGTTATATTAGACAACAAAATGACTTTATATACAAAGTCAACTATTTATTCATTATGACTAAATGGGTGTGGACATGGAAAACAATTTGTGCCAGGATAACACACCCTTCCAAATCTTTTAGGCACATGGAAAGTGTATATACAGTGCCTTGGAAATGTATTCATCCCCTTCCAATGACATCCCATTTTGTTGAAATACAAATGAAGTTTTCACTTATAGAAACAATCAACTTCAACATATATGGGTGGGAAAAGTAAAATAAGACATCAACAGAAAGGGCTTAACAGTTTTGCAAGGCACTGCAATAGCATGTGGAAAACAAAACACTATTCAGGAAATATCACACACAATCACAAGCTGCATCTGCAAATGGGGTCTAAATCAATTTTATTCCAATCCCGGACCTGAAAGGCAGGTGTGTCTGCAGGCTTTTTTAAATTACTTTAAAGCAGTAGCACTTGACCAGCTGGTAAAAGTGATCACTGTTCCAGTCAAGCCAGTAACCAGCGTCTTTACGTCATTAAGAGCTGAATAAAAACAAAAATCTGCAAATACACCTGCCTTCTAAGACCAAGAGCGAAGATCTAAGTAGTCATTTAATTACTTCAATGACCTGCTTGATTATGAGATTACAATTTCCTTTTCTACTAAATCCTGCCCCTGAATGACACTTCCCCCCATAGTCAATGACATGAAATGACTGGAGAATGACCATCAGAAATAGTCCTTTCCCATGATATCCAGACACACATCAATGCTTTCTCCTTGTTGTCTTTCGAAACAATTTCCTTTTGTAGACCATCCCAGAAGGAAAACGCACAAAAAGACAAACGCCTATCTTTTGGAAAGAAAATCAAGAACAATTATTTATTGGCAGCGCTAATGCCAATGGCATGCCTGCCCTCGCAGTCTCACCTGAGAGATCCACCACAGCCTCATGACTGGAGACGGCCCCCTTCTCGATAAACAGCTCGCTGAAGTAGGCGCTGCAGGCCGCCAGCACAGATTTGTGTGCGCGGTACTCCTCCCCCTCGACCAGCAGGGTGATGTCACAGAACTGGTTGTTAAGGCGCTGCTGGTTCAGCTTGTCCAGCATGGCTTGGCCATGCTTGGCTGAGTGCTGATTCACAATACCCTTAGTGTCCACCTGCAAGGAAATTCACTCGGTTTCAGAACGCCGGTGTAGGGGGGTGGTGTCTCTTCCAGGACGACACTACACTCATCAACAGTGCGTGTGTGGTCACCCAGCGGTTTGACGAGCCTGACACTGACAACCTGATCCTTATTTCACGGCCTTCTCGGGCACCAGATCTTATCCCACACAACGATTTTCAGGATACTCAGGAACAATGCCTTAGACAGGCACCTTCCACAGTTCCTTCAAATGAAATGACCCAAAAAGAGGAAGGTTCACCTTGCACTTAACATGAACTCAATATTTCCCCAGTAGAATTCTGATTACTTTCAAGCTTCAATATGGTCACCTAGAGGACTCACAAAAACAGATACTTCACAAGTTTGGGCATTCTGTTTTGTCTAATCTGTGCGCTGTAAACACACCCTGATGTATAAGCATCAGATATAACAAAAGGACAGACTGTGCTTTGAGATCTGCAATGAAGCTATACTAGGCAACAGGGGATTATTTAAATAACTACAGAAAAAGGGATGGCAATCATTTTAGTCGCCAAGACTGCTAACAGAACATTCTTTTCACATTGGCAACAAATCAAAATACAATATTTGATTTGAAGATATAAAATATTTGAAAAGAGTGCTATGCACTTCAGCATTGTTCCTATCGATGAAAGCAGCTGAATTTCAGAGTCAAACCACATCGTTTCTTAAAAATGTCAACTAGAATTGGCAACTGTATTTTGGTCCACCCAGCTGATTCTGGATTTACCACTTGTGTACCGTTTATACCTCAGATCTCGGGGAAGAAGAAAGAATTATAGGCTGAGTCCTCCTATCTGCCTGCTTTGAGCTACCCGTCTACTAATACACCCCAGGCTGCGCCCCCCTGACAGACAGCCCTGACAACCCCACCCTTCCTCCGCCGCGTGCTGCTCGGGGAGTCCCACCGTCAGCTGGTGCCCTGACCCAGGCACAAGCACGCAACACCTGGGCTCAAGCCACCTGGGACACCCCCAGGGGTGCCAAGTCTCCGAAAATAAGTCCACTCTACTTACGAAGACGAGCTCATGCTTGGCGATGGCCTTGGAGGGCCTGCAGGGCTTGGAGGTGGCGGATCCGGGCTGTGGCCCCAGGGCGCCGTCCTCGTCCTCGTCCTCATCGCTGTCGTGGGCCGCCTTGCGCCCCCTTCGCTCCGAGCCCTCCCCGGGCGCCTCGTCGGACCACCCGCGCGAGCGTTCCTGCTTCTCCTGGCACGGGCTGCACACCTTGATGTAGTCCTTCACCTGCTTCAGGATGCCTGGGGGGGGAGGGTCAGTGCCAGTGAGACACGCGCCACACGGGGCTTCCTTTCCCCAGACTGACCGGAAGCAAAAGCACTTCTCTCTTCTACGGTCGGACACATTCCACCATTTGCGGAAAAACGTGCACCCCCCACAAAAAAGATGAAAGTAGCAAACAACCTTTGACATCTCAAAAACTAGCCAGCCTCTTATGTTATGCTGGAACATGTTTTCTAATTTCCTGACAGTGACTTGGTCATTTCCACGCAGACATACAAAATGTGGGAGCTGACCTGAGGTCATTCCTTGACCCCAGTGCATTTGTACATTTACAGACATCTGTTGTACAGTACGTGACACTGTATGCGAATAACATTTTCAGAAATGCCGCTGTGGCATCTGAGAAAGAATGTTGTATAGGGCTATTGCACATGCACTAATGCACATTGGCGGTGGTGGTAGTGGGATTCCCCATTATCTATAAAGCACTTTGAGGAGTACCCAGAAAAACTATATAAACATATATAATTGTTTATATTTTCTTCCAAACGCCCATTCGCGAAAGTAATAGAAAGTGACCAAAACTGTAGTCAGACTAAAATGTCCCGAAAAACCGCTTGGATCCAGAGCACCACGAGGGATAGATACACCTCGTATCTTCGTGGCTTTTCTCCACAAAATGTTTTTTCTCGTAATGAATTAAAACTCATTTCAAACCTTCGCTGAAGAGCGCTGACGTCCTCCATCCTCTCTACGCAAACATGGAAGAGTGTGTAAGAGCACTGTTGGTACTGCAGTGTATTGGGTAAATTATACTGTTGATACCCGATTCTCCACTTAATTCAACTAATAAGTAATTCTGCACTTCGACACCTGATTTGTCGTATAAGGGCTATCAGACATCACTCAAGTAGGTGCTGCCGTAGACTCATGAATGAATCAGTCTCTTCCTCTTTAAAGCACTTTAATATGTTGGGGGATGAAAAGCGATAAACAAATGCAAGTATCACTACAGATACATACTTCAAACAGGAAAAAAGGTCACAAAAACAATGGGCACGTTCAAATCTGAGCTTCATATTTAGACAGCGAACTTCAGTCGCACTGCAGGAGTATCTTTCGTGTTCTACAAAACAGCAGCCATCAATCTACGCGAAACGCGATTTCGAGCTCAGAAAGTAAACGGAAGTGAAAAGACACATCACGCATTACCGCTTCAAGTGATTTTACTAGATTGCATTGCTGCAGAAAATGAGGCCTCACCGCGCACTCACACGTTACTGCACAGGGTACGCACCCCCCAAGTCTGGACTCGAAGTGCGTCTGAGACGTGCACAGAAGGTCACCGACAAAACCAAAACACAGCCACCACGTCTCCAGAAAAAGGCGGCGGAGCACATTGCCGTGTGTACAAGCCCGGCGTGTCGCTGCGAGCGATTTCCGCTTCGACCGTTTTAAAAGCACGAACCTCACCTCGCCACCAGTACTTCTGCGAGATCGTGTGCCAGGTCTGATGCCGGTTGAGGTGCTCTCCTCCGGCGGTGATGTGCGCTTCATCGATCAGTTCCTTCCGCCGCCCGGCCTGCAGAACCACCTCCAGCTCCGTGAACTTCTCCTGGCCCTTCTGCCGCCGCTGGTAGTACAGCGTCCCGTTTCGCACCACGTAGCAGGTGGCCGCCTTGCGGATCTTCCGCTTGACATTGCCCTCAGTCCCCGGAGCGTAGGGCTCCCGCTCGTCGGTCAGGTAGCGCTGGATGGCCAGGTAACTCTCCTCGCTCGACATAACCCTCCGCCACTCGGCAAGAAGCGATTAGACGGCAAAACGGAGACGACTATCGCCGGAGAAACGACCTGTATTTGTGCGCAGTTAGGTGATTTTGTTTTTCAGCCCTTTTCAATTTCCATAGGAAGGCGAGGAACGTTAGTAAAAGGAAAAAAATGGATTGTTTTTTAGGGGGGAACTGCAGTTCTTGACCCTAAGGGATGGACTTGCATGAACAGACAAAATGGCTGCTGCACAAGCGGATGTTGCGTCGGCCTGGGCGGGCTGCGGCTAGCGGAAGTTCCGGGGACATCTTCCTCCCCGTGACGTGTTGATGGTGGTTTGTGCTCAGTCAGGCGTGGGTCTCAGCTGTACGGTTCTGGTTGCATTTAGGTCACCACTGAATCTAATAAGATAAAATGTTCATGACAGTGAGCACTGATCGACCAGTGCCCTTTAAAAACTGCTTCGCGAACTGCTGTGCTTGCCGGTGACATTGAACAGAGTGCCCGTGGTTTTGGGCTCAGCTAGAGAAGATTAAAAATGCAGTTTTTGTTCTTGGTGTTATTGTCTCCTGGAAAAAGCTTATAGATCCCAACATTAAACAGTG